GAGATAGATAGATAGAGAGAGAGAGCGAGAGAGAGAGAGAGAGAGAGAGAGAGAGAGAGAGAGAGAGAACTGAGCGGGATTGGCCGAAATTGAATTTTGGGTTTCATTTCAGAGTTTCGAGTTTGTCGTTCTATTTCAGTTCTCTTTGTGTGCAAACTAAAAATTTAAATGCCGAGTTCGAATACAATTTCGGATGGATCAGCCTCAACTCATCTTTCCCGGTGTTTCTTGATTTAAATTTTTCATCCCAACAGAATTTAATTCTTGTTGGATTCAATTCTTGATTCAGTATTTGAATCGATTGGGAAAAAACACATGGGCACATCCATATCATAGGCTCAGGCATATATATATATATATATATTGGCAACACAGTGCTGTGTTGTCTAAATGCGGCCGTTATTGAAGGATCTTGATGGTAAAACATCCTGATCCTGGGCATAGAATGTGCCAACTCATCCGTGATGCTTGTACAAGAGTGTTTCCTATTTGCGTGTTTGTTATCCATATCAGCGTCATCGTAAGTGGCACTCACGCTCTCTATCGTATCATCGCATCCTGCGTTCACGTAAACACGGAATAAACTCGTATGAGGAAATGGATACAAAAGTAATGAAAGAAAGAAATTAGATGAATTATAGAAGAATAATAAAGAAATAATTAAAAGAGAAAAGTAAACGCGTTCGTTTTTTGCAGGCGTTTTCGCCGAACAACAAGTATGTCGTGTCGATCGGCAGCCAACACGACATGATAGTGAACGTGTGGAACTGGAGGGCTGGCACCAAGGTCGCGTCGAACAAGGTCGCATGCAAGGTCAGTCATTCTGCCCCAAGGTCAGTCGGTCTGCCCCAAGGTCAGACCATCCGATTAATCGTGTGATTGGTTGTGTTTCGTCGTGGCGAGCGCCAGCTTCCGTGCGAGTATTCGTTGTCGGGTGCAACCGTCCTCACGGGCAAATGCTGATTAATTATGCAGCCGGGGAATGGAATTCATTAATTATGCATTCCTGCTTCGAACTTAGTCTAGGTGTAGGGACATCTTGCAGAAGGAATTGCAGAGTGAATTAGAATGCGAATTGTTATGAATTTATCACTTACTAATTTGAAATTAAGATCTGGGTAATTTAAATTCGGATTGACGTCGTTGTCGTCTGGTCCGCAGGTGAAAGCGATCTCATTCGCCGAGAATGGCAGCTACTTCGTTACCGCCGGCAACAGACACGTCAAGTTCTGGTACCTGGACGATAGCAAAAATTCCAAGGTACGACGCGCGTTAGAACTTTTACGCGTACTCGCTTGTATTTTACCGTTTTAGATGGCGTGTAGTTGTGTCACTTTAGCGTTTATAAGTGTTGGAAATAGTCGCTCATCCCCCTCTTCGAGATGGGTGACTTTTGAGCAGGACTGGTTTATTTTTCAAGGGTTTTACTATGGGTTATATAGTAGAAATCGAAATTTTCGAAAATCAGAACTGATTGGGTTTTCAGACTTATTTCCGGGACTGATGCAAAGTGATTGCAGTGTAGTGGTGCATTTCCCCTGGTACTAGGGCTAAACATGTGGCAGGAATGTTTGCAATTTAGAAATGTTCGCTCAGATAGAAAAAACACTGCCATGTTTATCATTTATGAAAAGCATTTGCTCCAGAAAAACCGTAGCAACAACAAGTTTTCGATCGGGTGCCTCATGGCTTCCTGGCCTGAACACATGCACCCACCCTCGGTGCACTTTTTGTACTTTTTTGAGCCCTTCGTTACTAACAAACTGTTGTGTTTTTGCGTACACTGGAATGAATGCAGGCTAAAAACCGAAGCCAGATAGTTGTAAGCAGGGATGATGCGTGCGTTTGCGGACACGTACAGTGTGACTCTTCCCCTGATTCGGTTCATCATTAGCATTCAGTGTTTCCCCTCCATCGACACAAGCGAGGCGGGCCGCCTCTCTCACATTCTCAGCCGCCACACAGAAATTAGTCCAAAACACCGCCTAGCTGACGAAAATCACTGTTCTTCCACAGAATTCACCCAATTGTACCATTTTTTCAAACAAATTCCGGGGAACATGCCACCGGACCTCCCTAGCTGGGGGAACACCTGCGGTGCTTGCTTTGCTAAGACCTCGAAACGCGCAAACGCCCAAAAAAAATTTACCCCCTCACAGACCTTTTTGGCCAGGGGAAACACTGAACATTTATTATATCTGTTCGTTACAAATTGCTCTATGTAACGAATGGTAATTGGGCACCGGTTAACGTTTAATTTAGTTTAAATCAATCGTGTGCATTTCATCAGTCAGGCAGAATTTCCAAACTGAACCATGAAATCCTCAAACTAGTTGCAATGTACAAGATTGAACTCTAAGCCGATTGTGGGATTTCCTTGTCTCCCTTCCAACTAAAGATCACATCTAAAGATACTTTTGTATCGTGTGCATCAGACTTGGTACGAGGCAAGTTATCTTCATTCTTCATTCTTGAGACAAGGTTTCTGTCATGTAACATGAGTGCGATCCAATAGACAGCGCACATGTTCTAGCAGTACTGTCGCAGGGTCCGCTGCACTATGCCTGTCTGCATGAATAGACCAGAAATTCTGGATCTTTTGATCAAACCTGTGTACATTGTAAGTAGGTAGGTGTGCAGGCGGACAGGCAAGGAGGTAGGTGGACATGGTGCCGTCGCTTAGACGCTCAGCTGTCTTCGGTCTAACTCTAACATACTTTGTTGTATTATGTTGTATCATGTTGCATCGTGTCGTAGGCGGTGGACACGGCGCCGTTGCCATGATGCTCCCCGATCCTCGGCCTGAGTCTAACACGCTATGTTGTATTATGTTGTATGCGCTATGTTGCATCGTGTTGCGTCGTGTTGTAGGCGGTGGACACGGTGCCGCTATCTACCTTCCCCGACACTCACCCTGACATCTACCTCCCCCGACACTCACCCTGATCTCAACCCCCGACACTCACCTTGACCTCTACCTCCCCCGACACTCACCCTGACCTCTACCCCCTGATACTCACCCTGACCTCGACCCACTTGTCGAGCAGTCGCTTGCTGTTGAACTCGCAGAGCAGGCCCGACTGGCTGATCGTGTACGTGCTGTCGCACATCTGGCCGCGGCCGCACGCGACGTCCCAGAAGAAGTTGTTGCGCTGCTCGCCGAGGATCGCCGAGCGTCCGAGCGACACTCACCCTGACACCCCGACACTCACCCTGACCTCTACCTCCCCCCCTGACCTCTACCTTGAGTGTCGGGGAGGTAGAGGTCAGGGTGAGTGTCGGGGTGTCAGGGTGAGTGTCGG